CTCTACTGAGCTGCAATTAAACGCTAGCATTTTCCAAGCATATTGCTTTAGCCTTCCATTGAGATGCTGGTCTTTTCTTTCAAGGCCCTACCCAAAGCCTCATTGTTTGAATCCTGGATTTGCAAAGCCCTTCCCTGCCTGCTCTCCCTACAGATCACAGCTTGTCTAACAGACACCTCATACCGTGCAGCCAAACAGGCAGCTGAATTTCACAGTGGTAGCGTTCTCCTCACTCTACTGTAACCGTGGTCTCTCCTATTAACGTTTCAAATTCTTTTGTTTTGCTGGACCAGAGAGGCTTAACCGATTCTGTTTCATTTCACTGCTACGCGATTTATAGGCGGATGCTATGTGGAAGAGCCCAGGGTTTGCAAAAAGCATCAGCCACTAATGTAGTATGTTTTATGGGAAGGAGTCAAGTGAGCTTGCAGGCGGGACAGAGCAGTCTAGCACCAAGGTGAAGGTTTGCTACAATAGGCTTAACCTTGAGTTTTCACTGAAAAACAAACAATTGCATGAGGATTGAAAAAACTGGCTGAAAGAAATATGTTCATCGAAACAGGAGTGAGACGTCTCTCCGGAAACAAAACCACTCCCCCCCTTTCCCCATACTCCAATACGCAGATAGAAACAGATACGCTGAACGAATACAAGCTGTGAGTCAAGCCTTAATAATGCATTGTGTAACATAATTTTTATCCTTACGTCTAAATCAGGATAAAAATCACCCACCTGTTTTTGAAAACCAGCATTAAATTAGAATGATCGAATATGAAAAAACATGGCAAGATTTGCTTCTATTATTTATATGATCTGTGTTATTTCATACTGCAAAGAAACGAGGAGGGAGGAGCGAGAACTTACCGAAAGTAGAAAAAGCTGTCGTTTGAGCAGCGATACCGTTTCACCATGAACCCCAGAGCCATGGTTACCCACTTCCCTGCAACCTGCCGGAGCCCATTCTGAACAAGCACACAACGGATCCTGCGATCATCTATGACTATCTGATAATGCCATAAAATGACTTTTAGTAAAGCAGGAGGATTCCCACGTGGCAGTAAATCCCAACAGGGCAAAACCCTCCCAGCTGTCTGCAGAGCTTTATTGCAGTCGGTGAGACCATATGTAGCCAGTCTCAACCATCTCCCCCCCCGTCCCCCGCCCCCAAAACAAAACTGAGGTGAGAACCGACGGTTCACTTGGAAGTACTCTCAGTTTGAGGCCAAGAATTTGAAAATATTAATTTGGTCTGTCCTTTCAAATGTCATTTTCCTTACGTCTTTTCTCATGCTTTTTTACACATTTTAGATATTACTGACACTGAGAAAAATGTTAGAGACAAATGTGTGGGTTGAAAAGCTCAAAGAATGCAGTGGGAAACAGGCTAGAAAAGCTGTGAAAGATGATACAGTAACATGGTGCCAGATAGCCTCATGGCGAGAGCTGTTGATAAGCTGGTGAGGTGCTGTACTGGCCACACCTCTGAAGAGCTTCATTCACATCTGGCGTGGGTCACAACGGAGCAGAATTCTCACGTTAGTGCCTTGCGAAGACAGACCATGAGTTTTCAAGTAAAACAGACTGAACCTGGAGTAATAGAAGTAATACAGACGGAGAGGTTGTGGATTCATACGGGAGACCTGGACCCTGACCCACGGTGGGGCTCGTTTTCTGGACGGGCACTGCAGCTCTGTCCTCTCCCCATCCACTAACCCTGTCACACTGAAACTGAGTTTAAAAGCCAGAAAAAATAGCTTGGCCAATTGCTTTCTGCTGAAACAGAAAATCTGATTACGATAAAATCTGCCACTTATCTCCATTGCTCCTTCCTACAGCATTCCTGAATCCTTTCTATTTTAAATCAACTCTGAGCAAACAGCATCCATCCTCTGTCACCACCTGGAATGGCAATGCAGTGTTACAGTATCCCAAATCTTGATGTGCACCAGGATAACTACTCTTCCATACTCTAGAATTTTATAGGTATTTATCTATAAACGTTCTCCTGTTTCTTAACAGGACCCAAACACCTCAAAAGCATGAGAAAAGCAACGTGACAGCAGCATCTATTTCCTTCTAATCCTTGCAGGGTTTTAATTTATAAAGTTATATGATACTTTCTTTGAAGGCAGGGCTCTTGTATTTGTCAGAGCAAGAAAAGGTAGATGCTATCAGTCAACTGGCCCTGAAAACCTGTATAACACCATGACATCACCTAGCATCACCTGCTTAAAATGGGAAAGGGGTAGGACAGGAAAGTTTTTGCTGCAACAGATTGAGATTCATACAGAAAGCAGGGAGAGCAGAAGGTGAGAGAATGGCAATTCTTTCTCATGAATGAAGTCAGCTATGTGTTACCTTCTTTCACACAGAAACAGTTGTCCCTGATTTGTCTCACTGCAAAAATCCCAAACAGCAGCATAATTCTAAACACAAATCAATCTTTTTAGCCCTCTCTTTCCTCCAGTCTGTCTCCTCCCAGTATATTAATCTGTTCCTCATCTTCACTGCTTCATTCCCACATGGTTTCTAAGTTGTTTTTCCTGCTATTCTACCCACCAATTGCATTTTTCAGGCACCCTTAGATACAGAGTGAAACATATGGGAGGGAAGGGAGAAATTATTGGCAAGTTTCACTTCACAATGGAACTGAATTTCCTGTATGGTTTCATTTATAACATACCATTAAAAAAGTCGTATCTCTAACCATAAACTTTCAAAGTTGGTATACTCAATTGGCGCACTGTCTGATTAGACCACAAACGCAAAGAAAACTCCATTAAACCTTCAATCTTTCCAACAAAAATTGGACTATAAAAGTTAACTAGAAGGTTGAGCAGTGCTGTTAAATTCTTTTTGGAAAGAAAGCACATCAGCAATTTGTGACCCTCACCTGCAGCACAAGGCTTCAACCAGCTTGAGGTGAGGCTCATGCTTTTGAACAGCAATCCTCATTTGTGCAAAGGTTTATCTCCACATAAGCTTCATCTCAGCTTGCTTTCCACATAGCTTGGCTACTCTCAAATGATCTCCCTTGCCTCCAAACTGTGCCCTCTGTTCACTTCAGCACACATACCTCTGAAAGGAGGAAGATTACATGCAGCGGTTATAAAAAATGCTTTGTTCCGTTAGTAGTAAGTGGCCGTATCAAGTCAAAACCCCCAAATACTGTCCCATCTCCTGCCCTAGAGACGCAAGATGCATTGCTGTAAGGCTAGTGTAGCAGACCAAAGGAGGATGGTGACCAGATTGAAAGTAAAGAGCAACCACCGGCTTGTCCCCGTCTGACATCCTGCACATCCTGTCCCCCAAATCTCTGCGTGGACTCTGCCACTGTAAATTCTCAGTTCATTTGCTCCTGGATCCTCCTGTTTTAAATCCATGCCAAGCAGAGTTGAGAGGACTGACAGAACAGACCAGCTATGCTTAATGCTATCACCGCATGCATTGGATTTTATGCTTTGCAAGCAATCAGAGAAAATCCACATTTCATTCAGGTCTAGTTGACAATTCATGCCCACACTGGCAGGGAGTAGAGGGGGATTCGGTTTTAAAGAGAAGGCAGCTTTGCTGTGTATAATATCATGTCTTAAACCAAACTTGTAGGGATTAGTTGTAGCTGAATTGATTGTCTTTCCCAGAAAGATAGCATTTCCCTTACACTGCAAAAAGATGTATCAGTCCACATTCACCATGAGTACCAAGTTAAAGAAAGACAAATACGTTATTTACGGAAAAAAGATGTTTGCATTACAAAACTTCAAGCAAAGCTGGTTACAAACAACGGTAAAAATAACATGTACTTTATCACATGGTGATAATAAATAAATAATAACATGCTTATGCTCACTGAGTTGCTTTTTATAGCCATGTTGCAACTCCCTGAAAATAGGGATTTTTTTAAACAAAACTTGACTCGGAACAGACTGGTTGGACGTTACTATGACTATAGGAGCAACATCATCCACATCATTAGTCATATTTGGTAAGCAGCAGTCTTTTCTGTAACTCCTGACGTTACAAGACCTCTAACATCCAAAGCCTTGCTATCTCCATGATTTTATGATGCTGCTTTTCAGATGGAGAAGATAGCACCATCGATTGAAACAGCACAGCATGACAGATACAACTAATGAATTCAACTCAGCTAAAGGAGAAAGGAAAATGCACTAAACAATGTAAAATCACAGAAGCCTGCCGGGGCCTTAAGTACAGGGCGCAACCTATTTTTCACTCAGTCTAGTTCTCCTGCTAGGCTACTGTGGAATGGAACAGACAGTAATGTTTAATGAAAACAATCAAGAGACTTTACAAATAGTTAGGAAAAGCTGTGTGTATGAGCTTTTGTTTGCCTCATACAAAATCCATTCCCAGACTGAATTACCAGCCAAACTAAGCAAGCAAGAATATACCAAATGGAGCACTAAAATGGTCAGAAATTAAGGAGTTTTCCAGTTTTCTGAAAAACAGACTGCCTGTTCATTGTAGTAACATTGCAGTAACTATGCAATCAACTGACATTAGCAAGGATTCTTAATGTGCCTGAACTGCACAGTCCGTCTCTGTGCTAGCCGAACTGATCTGCTTGCACCAGCATAATCCCTCATCTTTGGCCACTGCACTGATCTGTGAGTAAGAATTGCATGCATCAAGGCAAGTTTCTCTAAAGCTGATCAATCCAATGGCTTTCGATCATGAAATTTAAAGTCTGCAGCTTATTTGAAACACATGCAGAAAAAGGTATTTGAGTCCACATGCTTAACCTGAACTTTTCATCAGCTGTTAAGAGCAGTAGAAGTTTTCAGTCCTATGTCAGCAGTACATTGTATACTAAACAACTTCTAACATACTACTCAGCCCCAAAACTACCCACCTGCCAGTTTAACAATAAATCCCCTTCCTTGCTCTCATTCTGTGAGTGCATACACATGCTGCGTGTAAATTTTGCGAAGCGCCTCTGGATGACAAGAGATCATTTTGGGAAATGCACTGAACCTTACCTGTCATCAGCATTGCGGAGAGATGGGAGACGGAAACTTGTGTTCCTGTCCAGCTTTGACTGACTCTTTGTCCTCTTGATGGACCCTTTCAGACGTTTACTGAAGAAGCCCTAAAATGAGAAATTGCAGAAGTGAAACAGAGAAACTGATGCCAGTAATAAATCAATCAATGCACTGTCACCGAGTCCAAACTCGGCACTGATTCCCGCTGACAACGTTTCCAGAACGTGCTGTATTGGGATTCCTCTGAGCAGGAAGAAAGGCAGGGCTAGAATGCCAATGACAGTTCCAGTATGTGATAGCTTCCAATTGCAGTAGTTAGCACTACTCACATTACAGGTGCACTTCAACAAATTCCAACTATTATATGAGACCCAAAACCCCACAATTATCATTTAATAAGGAGTAGTCTGAGATACCAATATTTGTTCCTACCTCCCCTTTACTCACCATGCTTTTAATGCTTGGTCAGATTAAAAGTACAAGATGTCTTTTATTATGAGCTTCTATTGCATCCACAGTTGCACTCAGATCCTTTTTAATTTAGCTATAGCAGGTAAGTCTTACAATAATATGTAATTTCAACAGTATCACTAGCCAGAACTGAAAATCTCAAAAGATTTCACATACTAGTGACTTTAGATACCAGTCCTGGTGTTGCTTTGAAGCAAAACTCAACTCAAAAATCTATCTGTGATCTAAAAGTACAAAATCTTAAAGAAATCTGTCTTCTGAACCACAGTTGCTCACCAAACAATCACAGACCAAAGACATGTTAGTTGGAGGGAGCCTCTGGGGATCACCTAGCCTGCCTCCTGCTCAATGTGGGTGTACTGCCAACACTAGGTCAGCCTCACTCTGACTTTGTCTAGCTAAATCTCGAAACCTTCTGGTGATGGAGATTTTACCACTCCTCTGGGCAACTCAGTCGAGTGTTGCACTACCCTCCAGTGAGAAAAAATTTTCCTTGCCTTCAACAAAAACCTCCTAAGGAGCAATCCTGCAGCTGCTGCCTCATTATAGCACCTGCCACGATGGGGAAGAGTTTGGCTCCATCATCTTTGTAATTCCTCTCTGCATTGCAGTAGGCTGTCTTATATCACCCCTCAGCCTTTTCTTTCCCAGGTAAACAAGCCCTCAGCCTCTCCTCATAGTTCTCGCCGTGTAGATATCATCAAGAGCTATTGCTGTATTACCAGTAGCGTAACACCTCTGACCACTGACACAAAGGGGTGTGTGCATCTGTATGTGTGGGGAAATCACAGAAATATTTAAACACCTGCACGTTTGATTTTCTCCTATAGCCCTTTAAATTACTTTGAGCATAATAAGCATTTTAAATAAGCCATAGTGTGTCAGAATATTTCCAGGGCTTGTAGACATACATGCACACACATTCTTTGGCATGATGGCAAATGAAATGAAAAAAAGAATTTGCATGAAAGCAAATACAGAGATTCTTAATCCAGTAGGATTAAGCAACATTTTACTGGCCGAATCTGTTCTGCTCCTTCAGGGAACAGCTACACAGAGCCACTGTACCCTGTGCACTGCTGTTGGAAGACTTCACCAAACACATGGGAGCGAAACCATGTTTGTTAAGAGTATTATAGGCTGTCTAGGTTGGTAGAATTTGCTCAAAGTACATGTTCTTTTGGTGTGGATTAAACCAGCAGATCTAGAGCCTAACTTTAGTAATGGTCTATTGACAGTGATAGCCAGCTGGGGATGACGCGCTCTCATTGATGTTTTATTGATTTTTTATTGATCATCCGTGATTTGTTAGGGTAGAAGTCGAGTACAGCTAATTTTGAACACATTTGCAAGGCAAGCCTCCACAAGCTGTGTTTGGGACAGGTAACAGATGTTGCCCACAGCTGCCTCCTGTAATACAGAAATCAGCAAATTGAAGACAAACAAGGTCTCTCGTTCTTTCCTATGCAGGACACTGACAAAGCAAGAGTGTTTTACTGGCTCCAGGTGACTCAGCCAGGCTGAAGTATGAGACTGTTCATCTCTCAGACTTGTAAGAATTAGGCCATCACAACAAGAGACAACTTTATCTGTAATCTTTTAGTCTGAAAAATCACACATCTCTTTCACCTCTTCAGGAAGAAAATGAGGTTTATCTACAATTGGACAGGGTGCTACATAATTTCATGTAGGCTCCCTTTCCCACAAAAGGTTGGACCAGGTGATCTTTCGAGGTCCTTTCCAACCTGGGCTGCTCTATGATTCTACAGTATTCAAAGGAAAGGTCTATCACACTCTTCTCATCAGTGGATGCCAGGTTAACTGCTGGAAAAGAAGTTGCTTCCAAACAGCAAAGCCTGCATTTGGTCAGGTTCAAGCATCTCTAAACCGATTTTCCAGTCTCATATTTGCCTTTATCTTCCCATTCTTTGAAACAAAATGTATCCTCTTCCCTTTAAACAAGCACACTCTTCAACCCCGCCTTCTACCTTTCCTCATTCTACCTTATTCTTGGTCCCTTTACCTTCCGTTTGTCCCTCTTCCACACAATTCACTCCTCCTTGAAACTGCACAATTCCCCTCACTGTACACACTGGTAGGTGGGTTCTCTCTCGCCTCACACTCATTCTCACTCTGCTTCTTTTGATGAACGACCACATGAGTCCTGCTCAGTTGTCAAGTGTAAAAAAAAAAAAAAAATCTCCTACCAAATCCACAGTTCCTCAGGCCCACACCCATGACATCTTCAGCAAATATAGCAAGATGGCCCACCTTCTCTCTTCCATTGAGATTTGGATGGTGACCTATTACTGAAAGCCTATCCATGCCTGATGCTGGCTGTAGGATCTTTCCAGCATATCCTGGAAAGATCTCACCCATCCTCGCCCAAATACTTGTGTAGGAAACAAACTGCTCACATGCACCAGCGCCTGACACACACCTGTCCATGGGCAGCATGGAGAAATTGGGATGCCCTGTGGGATGGTGCTGCTGGGAACAAAGGAAGAGGGAATCTGTTGTCTTCATCTGAGGGGAGGGCTACATTTAAGGCTGCCCTTCAATTTCTGAAGCTTGCCAGCCAGCAGGCTCCTCAGGGGTGAAAGATGCTAAATTCTCCTGAAATAGGAAATAAAGTGGAAAAGGGAAAAGAACAGGCCTGATATCTAGATAGTGCAACCCCCCCCCCCCCCCCCAATCTACATATCACGGTGGGGAAAAAGGTACTGTCAAAAGGGAAGAAGTGTTTTTAGCTGTGTGTGCCACTCAAACTCTGTCCATACTCCTGCACTTTTCTTGGTCCTGGTATTGAAAAAGTGCCTTTGAAAAAACCCTGTAATCAATAGATGCTCTTGGGCTTCTCTTGGGGCCATTGCTGGAATTCAAGTAGAGGATGAATAGCCCTTTCAAAGGCACTTTCATATATTCTGACCTCTCAGCATAAAAGGTAACAAACCCAACTACAGGGATTCAGATCTGGTGGACCCTGGCTTCACTCCAGTACCTCTCAGGCTACTCAAATTGCAAACACAAAATAACATGTTTTTCTCCCTTTAAGGGCAAATAGGACAATGCTGACCCATTTCATCAAGGGTCCAAAAGTATTTATATTGAATCATTCCAAATCCCCCTCAGAGAGGGACTGTGAAGATTCATTTTTGTGTGCATGCACAATTTTAAATTAGCATTGCCTTAACATTAGTGAAACATGTTCTTGGTTTAGTTGAACGTAATCTCTTCCTTCATGAAATAAATATGCTATTTGAGGCTGAATAAGGCTACCCAGAGTTGACTATTAAAAAAACCAATAAATTAGGGTAAGAACATACTTAAGGATAAAAATTCTTCAAAGAGTGTACTTATCAGTCATTCTCAAAAGACTTGAAAACATTTGCAATATTTGCTCTCTGCACCTTGCTGGCAGTTCACACAGGGCCAGTGCTTACAGATGGACAACCTGGGAGCAGCATGAAAAACTCACATGTGCCAGAACTGAGCAGACCTTTTCGACTTCCATTTGCCAAAGGAAATGCTTTTAAATACTCAATGCAGATATGAAAAAGATGTAGTGATGAAAAATAAACTTCTATCTGCGACAATACCATCTAACTGAAAGTTTTATTTCCTTTTCCTTCTATAGAGAAGAAATCCCTGCCGATGCTAATAACTATAGCTTGTACCATTACAAGTAAAAAAACACCCTCACTACTTTTCTTACTGTCTAGGTATTTCTCTTAATTACATATTTCGTCACAAAATACACTGCTGTTTGGTTCTTATACCTACATGTAATAATGTGTCTGAGCTTTAAGAATCACCATGGAACATTTTTAAAAGCAGCGGAAATCTTACTGCTTAAACAAACACCCTCAGATAAAAAGATGTAAACTTACTACCCAACTGCCAGAAATTATGAGACTATGTTCTTAATACAAAAAAGTACAAAATATTTGGTAGGATAAATTAGCTAGGATACAATTTTAAAAGATCAGTACTGTGTAAATGCTTCTGAGAGGAGTCCACTGAGGGAATAATTGCAGAATTGTGCCTTAATCCCTCAAGAGACAGATTTGATGGTCCACACCTAATAGGACAAAGCTCAGTACAAATTCCCCTCAGAACTGTGCTTCTGGGGTTTAGGGGAACAGGCGTGGAAAAGAGATGGGGCGGGGAGAGAGCAAGAGCGCACAAGCACACACTCAATCAAGGCATGTGGAATAGGTTCATCATGTTGGGCAAAAGCATCAAACACTGGGCTAAGAAATCCCAGTGATACATCATCTAAAAATAATTCAATCCCACCGAGAATTCTATTCATCTCATTTGGAAGTTAAGCAACTCATCTCTCTCACTCTGCCAGGAAGAAATAGCCACAGGAGAGGTGATAAATTCAACAGGCTTTTGTAACTTCCCTCCCAATATGGGGACTAGTAGAGCAGCACATGAACTGCCCAACAAATGCAAAGACAGCCCCAGTATGAACTACTCAACTCTGACTATCGTTCCCTATTCGCACTGATTCTTCACTTTGGAGCGAACAGCCCATGCATAATAAATAATTATTGTCTTTGTTGTTTTGAAAGTGAAAGGTTAATTCAGCCACGAACTAATAAAACTATACATAACTATGACACAAATT